ACTTACATTTCTACCAATAGTGTATAATATTTCTCTATCTTCTACATATTTATCAGCATTTTTTTTTTGTCTTTTTGATAATAGCCATTTTAATTGGGGTAAGATAATATCTCATTGTGGTTTTGTTTTGTGTTTTTCTGATGATTATTGATATTATGCGTTTTTGTCATTTTTTGTTAATTTTAGTCTTATTCTGTTATAGCCAAAGAAAATATATGAGGTAATTTTAGTTTTTAAAATTTTTTTGAGACTTATTTTGTGTCCTAACATATGGCCTAGACTAGAAGATGTTCCATGTGCTGATGAGAAGTATGTGTATTCTTTCCTGTTAAATGAAAGGTTCTGTAGATGTCTGTTAGGTCCATTTGGTCTATAGGGTAGATTAACTCCAATGATTTTTAGTTGATTTCCTGTCTGGGTGATCTATCATTCAAAATGGGGTACTGAAGTCCCTAACTATTATTGTATTGGAATCTATTTATTCCTTTAGATAATATTTGCTGTATATATTTGGGTACTCAGTATTAGATGTATATGTATTTACAATTGTTATATCCTCTTGCTTAATTGATTCAGTTTTTATAGTATAATGTTATACTCCTTTATCTCTTTTTCAACCTTTTTTTTTTGTTTTTTCTTTTACAAATTTTGACTTAAAATCAATTTATCTTTCCCAAGGATAGCTTTTCCTGCTCACTTTTGTTTTCCATTTTTGTGGGATTCATTTTTAGTCTTCTTCACTTTGATTCTGAGTGTGTTATTACTGGTGAAGTGAGTTTCTAGTAGTCAGCCTGTCATTGGGTCTTGTATTTTTCTTCATTTGGCCAATCTATACATTTTGATTAGAAAATTTAATCCATTTGCATTAAAGGTTATTATTGATAGGTAAAAACTTATTCCTGTAATTTTTTGGTCTCCTGATTATTTTGTATATTGTTCCCTTCTTCCTCTTTTATTGTGTATCCTTATGGTGTGGTGGTTTTCTGTTCTGATAAGTTTTGTGTGTGTGTGTGTGTGTGTGTATGTGTGTGTGTGTGTGTCTGTTTTGCTAATGAGTTTTAGTCTTTTATATGTTTTTATGATGGTAATTATCATCCTTTTGCTCTTATATGTAGTACTCCCTTAAATCTTTCTTGGAAGACTGGTCTTGTAGTGATAATTCCCTCAGATTTTGCTCACTTGGTAAAGAAACTCTCCTTCATTTCAGAAAGATGGGGTTTTTTGAGTATAGTATTCTTGGTTGGTAGCTTTTTTTCTTTAGGACTAACCATATTGTTCCATTTTCATCTGTCCTATAGTGTTCTGAGAAAACTCTTGTTAGTCTAATGAGGATTCCCTTATTTGTGACTTGATGTTCTGCTCTTGCTATTTTTGTCTTTGACTTATTTTATGGCAGTTTAAGTACAATAGCACTGTACCACTGATATATAGCCTCAAGCTTTATTTTTATTTTTTTGCAGTGCTGTGGATTGAACCAAGGGCCTTGTGCATGGTAGGCAAGTGCTTTACCATTAAACTCCATCTCCAGGCCATGTATATATTTCTTTTTTTAAATGCAACTGAGTTATTTCAAAAGACCTATCTTTAATTCAGAAATTATTATTTTTAGTTGGTCTCGTCTTTTGTTGAGTGTGTGTGTGTGTGTGTGTGTGTGTGTGGTGGGAGGGCTTGGGATTGAGCCCAGAGCTTCTTGTTTTTTTATGATTCTTGCTCTACCACTGATCGATCTATCTCTGTTGTTGAAACTTTCAATTGCATTTTTTATTTCATTGATTAAGTTCTTCAGCTCCAAGATTTCCGTTTTTTAGAAAAATGATTTCTTCTTTGTTAAATTTCTCATTCAATCCATGAATTATTTTCCTTATTGTGTTGAATTGTCTACTTATATTCTCTTTCATCTTACTAAGTTTACTTAGGGTCATTATTTTAGATTCCTTTTCACGGCATTTAAGAAATTTCCTATATATTAGAATTCATTTCTGGAAAGTTGTGTTCCTTTGGTAATGTCATGCTTCCTTGTTTTTTCATGATTCTTGTGTCCCTACATTGATGTCTGCACATCTGGTTTAACTGGTGCCTCTTCCAGTTTTCTGGAGTGGTTTTCATTGTAAAAGACCTTTTTGTTTAGATGCATTGTTGTTTGTCACTTGAGCAGATGCTTTGGCTTTGTTTCTAAGTATACTGAAGCTATAATTAAAGTATAGCTTCAGTATGATTTCTTCAGCTGCATTCAACCTCAGTGGAGTCTGCAAGTGCCTCAATGATTTATATTACATGTGTTTCTGGAGGTGGTGGTGTAACTCTGCATTGGTCCTGGCCCATCAGGAATGCATGACCTCAGATCCTATGGAGGTGAATGTTGATGGCAGTTGCACTAGCCTTGACGCAGAGGTTACCAACTGCAGAGGGGCATATCCTGAGGCCCTGCAAAGGCAAGAATTGATGGTGGTTTACTCTCCAGCAGTGGCAGCTGTGATCCTGGGGTATAAGCATGACACTGAAGATACTGTCTGTGGAGGGGCACTTTGACAGGTTGATTATAATGTGGGTAGGGGTAAGTCTCTCAAATTTTCCTACTTTGAGTTCTTTCGAATCTCTTGGATGGTTATATTTTAACTTTCATCAAATTTGGCAAATTTTCAACCTCTATTTCTTCCAGTTTCCTGTCTTTTCTTTCATTCTCTTCTTTTGGGACTCCACAATATGTATATTTGCAAATCTGTGCAAGGGCTTCAATCAGACCAAAACTTTCTCAGAGATTATTTTTTTCTTTCCATGCTCTTTTACTTCCTTCTCATCCTTTTTTCATTTCCTTAACTTTCTCTTCCTCCTCTCCTCATGTTCTATGATCCAAGACAGTCTTGTCTGCAAAGCAGTAGCTAATATGATAGAGGAAGGGATGGACTTTTTTAGTTATAGTTCAGTCTTTCTATGAGGGTAAATAGCCCTTCAAATCCCCAGTTTAGTGCTGGGGTTGTGGCTCAGTGGTAGAGTGCTTACCTAGCATGTGTGAGGCACTGGGTTTGACTCTCAGCACTGCATATAAATAAATGAATAAAATAAAGGCCCATCAACATCTAATATTTTTTTTTAAATCCCCAGTTTACTGTGAGGAGTTTCTACTATATTTCCACATTTGTTTAAACAAAAGTTTATTCTTAAATCTGCAAGACTCCAGAGTAATATTTCATTCTACTATAGATGGCAAAAGATGTTGAAGTAGGAAATTCTGATATTTAAATAGAAATGGAATCAGTGAGGGGCCCTTCCCCATGACCTTCACTTTTAGCTCCTTAAGTTTCTTCTGCTCCTCTTTTTGTTTTTCTCATCCATTTCCTTGGACTGTTTTGGGCTGTTTCAGGGAGATTTTCTTACCACCTTTGTGGCCAGATATGATATCTGCTGCCCCTATCCTAGACCTTGCTACTCAAAATTTTCCACCTTTAATGTGTCCTAGATTTATTCTTTTCCCTAGTATTTAATGAAACATTAGTATGCTAGTGTTGGCAAGTGCTCACAGTACAAAAACAACTTTAGCCCTTAGTTTACCATCCAGAATTTAGCTGGATATTTTGTGTAAGGGTTTTAATGCTTCAAAAGTTGGTGTTTTCCATTTGTATCCACAGTTTTTAACAATATCCAAGGAGACATTTACTCTGAACAACTTAGTCTACTCTCATAAGAAAACTCCAGTAACCTCTTCAGTGTTATGTTCTTTTAAAAAAATATCTATTTATTAGTTGTAGTTGGACATAATACCTTTATTTTATTTATTTATTTTTATGTGGTGCTGATGATTGAACCCAGGGCCTCACACATGCTAGGTGAGTGCTATCACTGAGTCACAACCCCAGCCCCAGTGTTATGTTCTTAATTGCATTTTCTCTTATCAACTGGGTCTAATTTGATGTTGAAATCTGCATACCAAATTTAAAATTTTTGATATATATGTTATATAATTTAACAAATGTAATTCACTGTTTTAGTAGAATATAGAATATTATATGATATATTGTTATATAATGCATTAACATATAATGCATTATATAACAAATATTTTATAGTTACAATTAGAAACCTATTTGCTGCATGGTCATTTGATCATTTTTTGCTCTTTAGGGATATTTTTAATATCGTCCTTTTAGTTTCATGTTCTTTACTTTTTATGTGATTATTTTAGTATCTGAGGTCTTCTTAGATTATACTATACTTTCTAATATTTGTTTGGCTTATATTCATTTATTCTTGGTGGTTTATTTCTCATGTGTTTTTTGAATTTTTCTTTTTAAACTATGTTAAATGAAACATGGGAATTTTGTGAGATCTTGGTAATTTAAGGCATGTGTGTTTTTTTCAGGGCATATTTGCACTTATAGGTGGAGGCCTTTTAAAGCACTGCCACACTGAGATCCTTTTCCAGATCACATAGTATGAATTCTCCTCTAAACATGTCTGAATACTATCCTCACTTAAAAATTTTCTGAGGGAGACTTTTTCTCCCTTACATCTAGAGTCAAGGCTGAGACTTGAAATTTCTTGTATCATAGTATATGATGGCTTTCCTCTTTCCCACTTTTTTGGGTATATCTTTTGGGGTTTCTTTCCTTTCTTGATGGATAAATCTCCAGTATGTTTCCTAATTATGCATGATCTTCAGGTTTTATCTCTTGTCTTCTATGTACAGATACATACAAAACCAGATTTGGAGATAACATGAATCAATAGATGCTGCTGGGTTCCATCTACCTTCAGGACTCACTTGTCTGTCCAGGCTTGATCTTTTTCTTAAATTTTGACCTATGTTATTTTTCTTATTCTGTTACTATGTAAGGGTACATCAAAAAGACTTTTTTAAAAACCCTTAATTCAACTTTACTAAGGGTTTTTTTTTTTTTGTTGTTGTTGTTGTTGTTTTTCTTCTGGAAATGCTGCTCAGGATATCTCATTTATTCCATTGCCCTAATAAATCTCAAATGTTATTTTTAATGTTTCTTTTATAGGATTCAGTTTAGCTGCATTTAAAAGAAACAAGAGGAAACTAGAACTGGCAGAGAGGGTGGAAACAGATTTCATTCAACTAAAGAAAAGAAGACAATCAAGTGAAAAGGTCAGGATGTGTTTGAAATATTAATTAATGTATTAATTGCTAACCTGAATTTAGATATGTAAGCTTTAGAACAGTACTGTCCTGTATTACTGTTGCAACATAAGTACTTTTAAGCTTTACAGTAGCTATATTATGAAAGTAAAAAAGAAACAAGTAAAATTAATTTTAATAATATTTTACTTAAATCAGTGAATCTAAAATATTAATTTGAATTATAATCAATGGAAAAATTAACAATGAGTGTTATAACACATTTTATTAGGTAATAAGTTTTAAAAACTAGTTTGTCTATATTTTACACATTAAAATTTTGACCCGAGTTTTCTTGGAAATATTTGACCTACATTTATATTTTGTAAGTATCAACTGTTGAAAATGTAGATTTACATATCTAGTTATTCTGGACATACTTAAAATTTTCTGGTAGTTGAACTGAATGTTTTAAAAATTAAATTAATTAAAATTTAATTCAATTAAAAATTCAGTATCTTATTTGCCCTTGTTTGATCTTAACTGATCAATAGCAACATGTTGCTTATGGCTACTGTTTTAGACCTTACAGTTTTAGATAAGTTTTAAGCTGTTATTCATTATTTTTAATTTTTTAAAATTTGTTTTACTTAGTTGTACATGACAACAGAATGCATTTCAATTCATTGTATACAAATGGAGCATAACATTTCATTTATCAGGTTGTACAAGATGTAGAGACTCACCATTCATGCAATCATACATGTACCTAGGGTAATGATGTCCATCTCATTCTACCACCTTTCCTACCTCTATAACCCTCCTTACCCTCCCCTTTGTCCAATACAAAGTTCTTCCATTTTTACCATCCTCCCTATCATAGATCAGCATCCACTAATCAGAGAAAACATTCAGCATTTGGTTTTTTGGGATTGACTTACTTCCCTTAGCATGATATTCTCCAACTCCATTCATTTACCTGAAAATGCCATAATTTTATTCTCTTTTAATGCTGAATAATATTTCACTGTGTGTGTGTGTGTGAGATATATATATCTCACAGTTTCTTTATCCATTCATCTATTGATGGGCATCTAGGTTGGTTCCACAGTTTAGCTATTGTGAATGGAGCCGCTATAAACATTGATGTGGCCGTGTCACTATAATATGCTGATTTTAAGTCCTTTAGGTATAGACTGAGAGGTGGATAGCTGAGTCAAATCGTGGTTCCATTCCAAGTTTTCTGAGGAATCTCCACACTGCTTTCCAAAGTGGTTGAACCAATTAGCAGTCCCACCAGCATGTATGAGTGTACCATTTCCCTTACATCCTCTCCAACACTTATTATTGTTTGTATTCTTGTAACTGCCATTCAACCTGGGGTGGGATGAAATCTTATAGTAGTTTTGATTTGCATTTCTCTAATTATTAAAGATGTTGAACATTTTAAAATATATTTGTTGATCATTTGTATATCTTCTTCTGAGAAGTGTCTGTTCAGTTCCTTAGCCCATTTATTGATTGGGTTGTTTGTTTTTTTTTGGTATTAAGTTTTTTGAGTTCTTTACATATCCTGGAGATTAGGGCTCTATCTAATGTGCGTGTGGTAAAAATTTGCTCTCAAAACGTAGGCTATCTCTTCACCTTAGTGATTGTGTCTTTTGTTGAGAAGAAGCTTTTTAGTTTGAATCCATCCCATTTATCGATTCTTGATTTTATTTCTTGTGCTTTAGGAGTCTTGTTAAGGAAGTCAAGGCCTAATCTAACATGGTGAAGATTTGAACCTACTTTTTCTTCAATTAGGTGCAGGGTCTCTGATCTTATTCTTGGGTCTTTGATCCACTTTGAGTGGAGTTTTGTGTAGGGTGAGAGATAGAGGTGTAATTTCATTTTGTTACATCTGAATTTCCAGTTTTCCCAGAACCATTTGTTGCTTAGGCTCTCTTTTCTCCAATGAATGTTTTTGGTGCCTTTGTCTAGTATGAAATAACTGTATTTATGTGGGTTTGTCTCTGTGTCTTTTAATCTGTACCATTGGTCTACATGTCTATTTTAGTGCCAAAACCATGTTGTTTTTGTTACTGTTGCTCCGTGGTATAGTTTAAGATCTGGTATTGTGATGCCTCTTGCGTCACTTTTCTTGCTGATGATTGCTTTCGCTATTCTGGATCTCTTATTTTTCCAAATGAATTTCATGATTGCCTTTTCTAGTTCTATGAAGAATATCATTAGGATTTTAATAGGAATCATATTAAATCTGTATAACAGTTTTGGTAGTATGGCTATTTTAACAATATTAACTTTGCCTATCCAAGAGCACAGGAGATCTTTCCATCTTCTAAGGTCTTCTTCCATTTCCTTCTTTACTGTTATATAGCTTTCATGGTAGAAGTCTTTCACCTTTTTTGTTAGATTGATTCCCAAATATTTTTTATTTTGAGGTTATTTTGAATGGGGGTAGTTTTCCTAATTTCTCTTTTAGTGGATTCATCACTTATGTATAGAAATGCATTTGATTTATGGGTATTGATTTTATATCCTGCTGCTTTGCTAAATTCACTTATTCTAGAATTTTTCTTGTGGATTTTTTTTATCTTCTAAATATAGAATTATGTCCTCAGCAATTAGCGATAGTTTGAGTTCTTCTTTTCCTATGCATACCCCTTTAATATAATTGCTCTGGCTAAAATTTTAAGGACTATTTTGAATAGAAGTGGTGAAAGAGGGCATCCCTTTCTTGTTCCAGTTTTTAGAGGTAATGTTTCCAATTTTTCTCTGTTTAGAATGATGTTGGCCTTGGGCTTAGCACAGATTGCTTTTATAATGTTCAGGTATGATCCTACTATTCCTAGTATTTCTAGAGTTTTGGACAGGAAGAGGTGCTGTGTTTATTAAATGCTTTTTCACCATATATTGAGATAATCATATTATTCTTGTCTTTAATGGTGATATATTACATTTATTGATTTCTGTATGTTGAACCAACCTTGCATCCCTGGGATAAACTCCATTTGATCATGGTGCACTATCTTTTAAATATGTTTTTGTATTAAAGTTGCCAGAATTTTATTGAGAATTTTGTGTCTATGTTCATCAGGGATATTGGTCTGAAGTTTTCTATCTTGATGTGTCTTTGTCTGATTTTGCTAGTAGGGTGATGCTAGCCTCATAGAATGAGTTTGGAAGGGTTCCCTCCTTTTCTATTTTGTGGAATAATTTGAGGAGTATTGGTATTAGTTCTTCTTTGAAGGTCTTATCGAACTTGACTGAGAATCTGTCTGGTCCTGGGCTTTTCTTGGTTGGTAGACTTGATGGCGTCATCTATTTTCTTGCTTGAAATTGATCCGTTTAACTTGTATATATCATCCTAATTCAGTTTGGGCACATCATATGACTCTAGAAATTTGTTGATGCTTTCAATATTTTCTCTTTTATTAAAGTACAAATTTTCAAAATAATTTCTAATTATCTTCTGTATTTTTATAGTGTCCATCGTGATATTTCCTTTTTCATCATGGATGTTAGTAATTTGTGTTTTCTCTCTCCTCTTCATTAACATGGCTAATGGTTTATTAATCTTATTTATTTTTTTCAAAGAAGCAGCTTTTTAATTTTGTCAACTTTTCTTTTGTTTTAATCTCATTAATTTCAGCTCTGATTTTAATTATTTTCTGTCTTCCACTACTTTTGGTGTTGATTTGTTCATCTTTTTCTAGGGCTTTGAGATGTAACATTAGGACATTTTTTTTGACTTTTTATTCTTTTAATGAATGAACTCCATGCAATGAAGTTTCCTCTTCGCACTGCTTTCATAGTATCCCAAAGATTTTATATGTTGTATCAATGTTCTCATTTACCTCTAAGAATTTTTTTTTTTATGTTCTCTCTGATGTCTTCTGCTATCCATTGCTCATTCAATATCTTATTATTTAGTTTTAGGTGTAAGAGTAGCTTCTATTTTTTATTTTATCATTGATTTCTAATTTTATTCCATTATGATATGATAGAATACAGGGTACTATCTCTATTTTTTTCCTATATTTGCTGAGAGTTGCCTTGTGGCATAATATATGGTCTATTTTAGAGAAGGATCCATGTGCTGCTGAGAAGAAGGCATATTTGCTTGATGATGGGTGGAATACTCTATATATGTCTGTTAAGGCTAAATCATTGATTGTATTATTGTGTTCTATAGTTTCTTTGTTTGGTTTTTGTTTGGAAGATCTATCCATTGGTGATAGAGGTTTGTTAAAGTCAACCAGTATTATTTTGTTGTTATATTTTTGCTTCTTAAAATTTAGAAGGGTTTGTTTGATATATGTAGATGCTCCATTGTTTGGGGCATAGATATTGTGATTGTTATGTCTTGTTGATGTATGGTTCCCTTACACAGTATGAAATGTCTTTCTTTATCCTTTCTGACTAACTTTTTGGTTTGGAGTCCACTTTATCTGATATTAGGATGGAATCCCCTGCTTGTTTACATGGCCCATGTGAGTGATATGTTTTATCCTATCCTTTCATCTTCATTCTGTGGATGTCTTTTCCTAAGAGATGAGTCTCTTTAAGGCAGCATATTGTTGGATCTTTTTTTTTTTTTAATGCATTTTGTCAGTCTATGTCTTTTTATTGATGAATTTAGGCTGTTAACATTCAGGGTTATTATTGAGACATGGTTTGTATTCCCAGTCATTTTGGTTTATTTTTGGTTTTTAACTTGATATAGTTTCTCCTTCGATTGGATTGTCTTTTTGTGTAATATCTCCCTTTGCTGATTATCATTGTTGTTTTTTATTTCCTCCTCATGGAATATTTTGCTGAGAATATTCTTTAGTGCAGGCTTCTCATTATAAATTTTTTTAACTTTTGCATATCATGGAAGGTTTTTATTTTTTCATCAAATCTCAAGCTTAATTTTGCTGGATATAAGATTCTTGGTTGGCATCTATTTTCATTCAGAGCTTGGTGTATATTGTTACAGGGTCTCCTGGCTTTGATGGTCTGGTTTGAGAAATCTGCTGAGATACAAA